CTCTCTATGTCCTTGCCAGCATTTGTTATTGCCTGTCTTTTGGATAGTAGCCATTTTAACTGGGGTGAGATGATATTTCATTGTATTTGGATTTGCATTTCTCTCATGATCAATGGTATTGAGCACCTGTTTGCCATTTGTATGTCTTCTTTTGAGAAATGTCTATTCAGATCTTTTCCCCGTTTTTAAATCTGATTATTAGATGTTTCCCTATAGAGTTGTCTGAGCTCCTTATATATTCTGGTTATTAACCTCTTCTCAGATGGATAGTTTGCAAATTATTTTCACCCATTCTGTGAATTGTCTCTTCACTTTGTTGATTGTTTCCTTTGCTGCGCAGAAGCTTTTTTAAAATTTATTTATTTATTTTTTATTTTTTTTGAGAAGGAGTTTCGCTCTTGTTGTCCAGGCTGGAGTGCAATGGCATGATCTCAGCTCACTGCAACCTCTGCCTCCTGGGTTTAAGTGATTCTCCTGCCTCAGCCTCCCAAGTGGCTGGGATTATAGGCATATGCCACCATACCTGGCTAATTTTGTATGTTTAGTAGAGACAGGGTTTCTCTATGTTGGTCAGGCTACTCTCGAACTCTCATCCTTAAATGATACCCCCACCTCGGCCTTCCAGAGTGCTGGGATTACAGGCATGAGCTACCACGCCTGGCCTGCAGAAGCCTTCTAACTTGATGTGATCCCATTAGTCTAGTTTTGCTTTGGTTGCCTGTGCTTGTGGGATATTACTCAAGAAATCTTTACCCAGTCCAATGCCCTGGAGAATTTTTTCAATGTTTTCTTGTAGTAGGTTCATAGTTTGAAGTCTTAGATTTCAGTCTTTAATCCATTTTTATTTGATTTTTGTATATGGTGAAAGGTAGGTGTCTAGTTTCATTCTTCTGTATATGGATATCTAGTTTCCCCAGCACTATTTATTAAAGAGACTGTGCTTTCCTCAATATATGATCTTGGCACATTTGTTGAAAATGAGTTCAGTGTAGATGTATGAATTTATTTCTATTCTGTTCCATCGGTTTGTGTGTCTGTTTTTATGCTGTTTTGGTTATGATAGCTCTGTAGCATAATTTGAAGTCAGGGAATGTGATTCCTACAGTTTTGTTCTTTTTGCTCAGGATAGCTTTGGCTATTCTGGGTCTTTCTTGGTTTCATATAAATATTAGAATTTTAAAATATTTCTGTGAAGAATGTCATTGGTATTTTAATAGACATTGTATTGAATCTGTAGATTGCTCTGGGAAGTATGGACATTTTAACAATATCGATTATTCCATGAACATGGAATATCTTTCAATTTTTTGGTGTCCTCTTCAATTTCTTGTATCAGTGATGTTTGTTTTTGTTTTTGTTTTGAGGCAGGGTCTCACTTTGTTGCCCAGGCTGGAGTGCAGTGGTATGATCTCAGCTCCACTACTGGAGTGTAGTTTTATCAACCACTGCCTCCCAGGTTCAGCTGATTCTCATGTCTCAGCCTCCTGAGTAGCTGGGACTACAGACGTGAGCCACTACATCTGGCTAATTTTTGTACTTTACTTAGTAGAGACAGGGTTTTGGCATGTTTCCCAGGCTGATCTCAAACTGCTGGCTTCAAGTGATCTGCTGTCTTTGGCCCTCCCAAAGTTCTGGGATTACAGGTGTGAGCCACCGGGCCATGCTGGAATCAGTGTTTTATGGTTTTCGTGGTAGAGATCTTTCCCTTCTTTGGTTAATTCCTACATATTTTATTTTATCTGTAGCTATCATAAATGGGATTATTTTCTGGATTTCTTTTTCATATTGTTCACTGTCGGCATAGAGAAATGCTAATGATTTTTATATGTTGATTTGTAGCCTGCAGCTTTACTGAATTTGTTTATTAGTTCTAATAGTTTTTTGGTAGAGTCTTTAGTTTCTTCCAGATATAAGGTCATATAATCTGCAAACAGGAATAATTTGACTTCTTCCTTTCCAGTGTGGATGCTCTTTATTTCTTTTCCTTTTCTGATTGCTCTAGTTAAAATTTTAGCACTATGTTGAATAACAGGGATAAAAATGAACATTCTTGTCATGTTCTAGATCTTAGAGGAAAATTATTCAGTATGATATGAGTTGTGGACCTCTCATATATGGCTTTTATTTTGTTGAGGTACTTTCCTTCTATACCCAGTTTTTAAAGGACTTTTATCATGAAGTGATATTGAATTTTATCAAATGCCTTTTCAGCATCAGTTGAAATGATCATATGGGTTTTATTCTCCATTCTGTTGATATGATGTATCACATTGATTTGCATATGCTGATTCATCCTTGCATCCCTGGGATAAATCCCACTTGGTCATGATGAATAATATTTTTAATGTGTTGCTGAAAGCTAAATAAAGTGAAATGTAAATGCCATAGATTGAGTCAAGAACATCATGACAATTTTGGAAAAGTTTCTTGCAAACTATAATACTTAAGATGAGGTAAGATTAATAGCACAAAAGTCTGAAAAATTAAGATGGAAGTGACCAAAAAATAATATAAACATGCACAAACTATATGAATAATGAAGTAACAGAAAGGGAAATTTAGATTAACATAAACATATAATTAGGTGCTCACAATATCACATAGAAAGAGATTGATTCTTCCTATCCATGAGCATGGTATGTTTTTGCATTAGTTTGAATCATCTCTGATTTCTTTGAGCAGTGGTTTGTAGTTCTCCTGGTAGAGATCATAGTCCATAGTTTTTAAATAAGCATTGGACAAGTAGTTCTCAACTCTGTTGATGAAAAGAATCAAACTCTGTAAAATACTTGAAGAAACTTATTCTGAGCCAAACATGAGTGACCATGGCCCATGACACAGACCTAAGGAGCCCCTGAAAACATGTACATGTGGTTTGGACAAAGCTTGATTGTATACATTTCAGGGAGACATGAGGCTTCAAATACTATGAAGATATACACTGGTTTGGTCCAGAAAGATGGGACAACTTGAAGAGTCAGGAGTGGGGTTCCAGATTATAGGTAGATTAAAAAATGTTCTGATTGCCAGTTGGTTGAAAGAGTTATTATCAATAGAAAGGAATGTTTGGGTTAAGAAAAGAGGTTGTGGAGGCCAAAGTTTTGTCATGCACCTGAAGCCTCCAGGTCACAGGTTTCAGAGAGAATAGATTGTAAATGTTTCCCATCAGACTTAAGGTCTGTATTGATATTAAATCCTGGTTAACTTTTCCTGAATTCCAAAAGGGAAGAGGGCATAATGAGGCATGTCCAACTCCCGCTTCCCATCATGGCCAGAACCAAGATTTCAGATAAAACTTAGAGGGCCTTGGCCATTCAGATAGTTGGGGGAGACTTTGAACTTTATTTTTGGTTTACAACTCTTTGTTGTGTCTGAAATCTTTACACATAGTGGTACTAATAGATCATGGTAATATTCATTATCCTTGGTAGGTAAGGTGATGTTCCAGGCTGGATGCCATTGGCTCCAAAGCTAAATGTCAAATTATTCTGTGACCCCTTCATGGTGCGCTGGTTGGGAAGCTGGAAAACAAGAAGGAATCTTGTTTTAGATTTCTCAAGTTCTGAGCTTCTTCTGAGTCCCATTATCAGTACAGAAAAAGGGTCTTTTGGGGGGCTTGTTTTGCCTCCCAGAAAGCCTCCATAGAGCTAATGTGATACATTTGGCTCTGTTCTGCAGGTGTTGGAAGAGTATTCTGTTTTGTAAAATCTAAATCACAAAAGAGGTAAAGGTGGTACCCCTTCTATCCACTATGACTACACGTCTAGATTTTCTCTTTGCTTTCATATAGTTTGGGTAACTTTTTAACTCTCTTCCCACAATATCTCATTTCCCATCAAGCCTCAGTTTGAGGCTGAGTCACTTCTCTGTATGTGAGAAAATGGTAGGATCTTAGGCTTAGGTTGGTGGACAGGAGAAGAAAGCTCATTTGAGTTATGCCATCTTTGCTATACCGTCTGGGCTCTATCCTGAGATTTTGTTGCATGTTCCCTACAGGGTTCACTACACATTATTAGGGATGTAGATATCATTTATATCACTCAGGGTTCTCCAGAGGGACAGAACTTACAGGATATATGTATATATGAAAGGGAATTAACTAAGGAGAATTGGCTCACATGATCACAAGGTGAAGTCCCACAATAGGCCATCTGCAAGCTGAGGGAGAAAGAAACCAGTAGTGGCTTAGTCTAGGTCCAAGCGCTTCAAAAGTAAGGAAGCCAACAGTATATCCTGCAGTCTGTGGCTGAAGGGCCACTGGTATAAGTCCAAGAGTCCAAAACCCGAAGAACCTGAAGTCTGACGTCCAAGGGTAGGAAGAACAGACAGACACATTCAGCACAGGAGGAAGATGAAGGGCAGAAGACTCAGCAAGCTGGCTTAACCCACCTTCTTCCTCCTGCTTTGTCTTAGTCACGCCAGCAGCCAATTGGATGGCGTGTACCCACATTGAGGGTGGGTCTTCCTCTCCCCATCCATTGACTCAAATACCAGTCTCCTCTGGCAACACCCTCGCAGACACACCCAGAAACAATAATTTACCAGTGATCTAGTCACCCTTCAATCCAATCAAGTTGACACTAAATATTAACAACCACACCGTCTTTCCAGCATGCTACTCTGGCGGAGTCTTTGGCTCAAATCTGCTCCGTCATTCATTCTCTGCTTCATACATTTCTCTCAGCAATGAATTTCTGGTTAATGTTAACTCTCCTTTCTTTGAGGAGAGAGTTAATGTTAATCACTCAGTTTCCTTAACTTCAGATCTAGGGGTATCAGTGAAAATTTCCAATATTTTGTTAAAAGCAATGGTTTGAAATGTTAGAAGGGGGAAGAATGAGGGATTATTCAGAAATGAATTTGTGGAGAGCCTCTTCTCTTTGATTCAAAATGTCCTGTTTCTGAAGCTTATTATGTTAGATTATGACCCTTTCTGGGTTTGGTTGTTATCACGAAATTTTTTTGGCCTTGTCTTTTATTTTTCTTTCTCATTCTGTTAGGTATCAGGAGGCAAGAATGCAGTCAGGACCCTCAATCTGCCATCTAACATGACTTCAGGTAATTTTTCAGAATTCTATGTGGTTCACTATTATTACTTTGGCTTGAATTTTAAGGAGCTTTAAGATGAGGAGAGGATAATAAGACAGTTGGGGTACAATGAGGTTGTACATGAAGCTGTAGGCCTAAAATATAAGTCATTAAAAAATGTGTTCTACAATGCCTACTTAAAATGTTTGGAAATAAAATGGTTTGGCAAAACAGCAAATTCTGATAAATGGGAAAACCATGTTTTTATTTGATAAACTTCAGGATTTTTTTTTAACATATAGATTTGCTTTTTGAGAATAAACTGACACAATCAGTACAGATTTAAGATCATCGAAGTCTAGCCAGGATTCATTTTTGAACCTGTATTTCAAACAGGCTTGTCTCTTCCATAAGACAGTGTCAAGTATGGTTGGTTCTTGGGGGTTCTAGTACATTTCCAAGAACTGAGAAGTGAGGAAAGTAGAGTTACACTGTAAAGCAGTGCATATGGAACAGGGGAGGGATGTGTAGAGCTCTCTAGAAGAGACAGATTGGCGTCCAGCCTTGGGAGACTGTAATTTTCTATGTATGTATAATTATATTAACATATTTAAATAAGTGATACATCCAAAGCAGGGGCTTAGTAAGAGCTGTGGGAAGCCTAGAAAAAAAGGAGAATCACCAAACATCCCTTTTTTGAAAATCCCATACCAGCTCTGTCCCTTGGAGTGAGAGAATTCACCATCAAACTTCCAGAAATTCCAGTCCCAAAGGCAAGAGTGTTCCTATTGTGCGCCTGATGTGAAAACATGAGCTTCATCTGACTCCTTTTCTGATTCACTGTCCTCACAGCAGTTTTCTGGTTCCAGTGAAGGTCTGTTCATGGAGAGGGAGAATATAGAAAATACACAGATTTTAAATATTTCTAAGTCTTTCACAGTGATTTCTCATGGTAATGAGTAGCTTCTGATTACCATTTGGTTTTCCCTGACTACAGGGAAAAAAGGAGATTATTATGCCAACCTGAACAATTCCAGTCTGTGTGACAATTCTATTTCTCACTTTAAATTAGTATATTGCCATCCTGATGCCTTCCTCAGGCCTTCTGTACATTTTAGTTAGTGTAAGTCAGTATTTGTGTCTGATTGCCCCAGGACATTGACAAGAGTAAGCCCGCCTTCTGCTAGAAAACTCTGATTCTATTTCCATCTTGCCTCCCTATTTATTTCTACATCAAACACAGTTATGTATTTGGTTAGTTCATCTGTATTAAAATGTGCTAGTACCAGATAACATTTAAAATACCTCAAGAAAATTGATGAAAAACTTTTTGTGGATCTTATTTTGTCTCTACTTCAGTGTTTTGGAACAGGAAGAGTAGCGTGGGGAAACGGAGGCAGTTTCTTGCAGTGACCTTCAAAGATCACTTTTAAATTTGAGGATCTAGTCTCATCATTTGATGGGTAATGCTCTTTCTACTAAGTTTCCTCTCCAGTCTAAAGGTACTGAGGCCATTAGTAGAAGCGAAAGGTGACTGTGTGAAACAACGGGACGAGCATGGGACATGGGATTTTTGGAGAGGACCCAAAAGTTAAAAGTGCTTTCCTGTTCATTTGCTCAGGCGTTTCATGTGCTTGTCCTTGTTGTGGTCTTACTTGTCTCAGATCGACCTGTTCTTTTGAAAAGCCTGATAATGTGATTAAAGAGCACAGAAGCAAGAGTTGAAGAATCAACATTTGAACCATTTCAGAATTCCAAGGAGATTTTATAGAAGCTGGGTGCCTATTAAAACTGCTGTGTTCAATTCTCTCTCTCTTTTTCTTTTTTTCTGAGACGGAGTCTCACTCTGTCATCCAGGCTGGAGTGCAGTGGCATGATCTTGGCTCACTACAATCTCCCCTTCCTGGATTCAAGCGATCCTCCTGCCTCAGCCTCCTGAGTAGCTAGGACCACAGATGCGTGCCACCACACCTGGCTAATTTTTGTATTTTTAGTAGAGACAGGGTTTCACCATGTTGGCCAGACTAGTCTTGAACTCCTGACCTCAGGCGATCCACCCGCCTCAGCCTCCCAAAATGCTGGGATTACAGGTGTGAGCCACCATGCCCAGCTTGAAACCACTGTGTTCAATTTTTATAAACAGAATCCTAATTATGAAATTACAGAGGAAACCTTGTTATCTAACAAGATCAAGACAATTTAATTAAAAAGTTAGATAAAGCATGGAATGTGTTTAAAAACTAGCTTTAAAAACCCCATGCATATGTACCTAGAACATTTCGTATTAAATTAAGACACCTAAATGTACTCATTTACATAGATTTGATGTAGATTCAGGCTTTTTAAAGTGCAAGCATACTAATTATAGTCCTGCATCATCTTTCTTGCATAATTGACGCCCCGAAATATTGTCTTCATTGTCCAAAGTGTAGTTTATTTAAAAAGAGGTATAAATTTAAAGATCTCTGACACAATCTGAGAGATACTTTCCCTTCAATGTTTTACAGTCGTCAACATCAAATTATTAAAGCAAGTCTCCTCTGTGTAATCTGTTTTGCAAAACTAATCCTAGTTCTCATAGAAGCAACAATCTTCTTTCTTTCACTCTTATATTTGAATATTTATGTAACATTAAATAACATGCATTGTTACGATAACAAGCACAACAGATTTGTATAAACTCTGCTGACTCTTGGTGAGCAGGAGACTGTCATTCACAGCCACAGAGCGACCCAACAGTGGCAAGAATACAGCATGCTCTGTGGATCAGCCATCAAGAACGGGGCATATTGGTGACTCTAGCTGACCTGCTAGGTTGAGGTCAGATAGGAGAACCTCTCCTTTTGGAGGTCATCTGCAAACTTACCTCACTCTATGTTTAAGCCAGGTGGGCCCCAGAGAGGTTAAGGGACAAACAGCAGGTCCAAAGCTAGACAGCTATCAGTATTGTCTTTCTTGACTCATAGTCTAGTATGTAGTATTCTTTTGTGAGAATTCATTTGGAGTATTCCTTTAAAAGCTTTTTTTCGTCATTTAATCTAAATATGCTTTTTGTATCATTAGATGTAATTTTTTAATTGAGATTTGTGGTTAAGACTTCATAAGAGCTCATAGCTACGATTTTATGATAGCATTTAATAACAAAAACAAATTTGCTATATTGGCATCTTTTCCAAGGAATAGAATTGTTCCATGAAGTGAGGCATACTCTATGACTTCTTATTAACATTTCATTGTCCTAACAGTGCTAGAAACATGGACCACTTTAACTCCATTTATCCTTGTCCTAACTTATGGTATACGCTGGTTTGCTTTACTTTTCTCTATATTTTTGGCCCCACAAGATATTATTATTACTGCTTATGCAGTCAATATTTATTTAAAAGTCATTAATACATTTCCTCTTTGCTTTAATTACATACTGTAGTCTTAGTTTCCATCCGGGGTCATTTTTCTTTTTGAAGAATATTTCAGTGTTTCTTTAGTACAGTTTCTTGGTGATAAATTTTGTTTTGCATCTGAAAATATCTGTATTTTACTTCAATTTTTACTGGATATAGAATTATAGATTTGTAGACTTATTTTTTAGTAATTTGAAGAGAGATTATTCTTTTCTGGTTTTTCTGGTTTCTATTGGTAAGTTAGCTTTTGGTCTTATTACTGTTTTTCGAAAGAAATAAGTCTCTTTATTTCCCCTCTGGTTGCTTACGTGGTTTTCTCTTTGTCTTTGGTATTTGGCAGTTTTACTACAAATACCTGTGTGATGTGCATGCGTGTATTTTAATTCATTGTACTTAGGTTTGAATCTGCAACTCTGAAACCTTTAAACAGTTTTGGAAAATTCTTAGTCATTGTCTCCTCAAAATTTTCCTCTGATTCATTCTTTTTTGTCTCTCCTGGGATAATGATGTGTAGGCTAGGCCTTTTTATCGATCGTACAACCTGTGTGCTCTTTCCTGTATTTTTCTAGACTTTCCTCCCTTTTTCACTGTGGATATTGTCTCCCTGTTTACTAATAGGAATACTCCTCAAATAAGCCTAATTTTCTGTTAAATCCATTGTTTGAGCTCTTAAGTTCAGTTATAAAACTTTGGCTGCAGATTTTTTTCTATTCACTCCTTTTATAATTTGAAAATTTCCCTTAATTTTCAATATTGACTGTTCACTCCTCAAACACCAATTATTGTTAAGGTCCACATTTGATCATTCTATTCTCTGGATTTTGTTTAGGTTTATTTTTATTGTCTGTTTCTTTAGGTTTTCATTCACATTGTTATCTTGCATACTCATATGAATGGCTAATTTTGATTGAATGTTCCATGGAGTATTTAAAATTGAAGAGATAATACAACACTCTGGTATATATTATGTCTCCCAGGGGGATTTATATTTGCTTCTGCCTGATGACTAGGAGAGACATATGTTTAAATCTTCCAACATGATTGTAGATTTGAACTTGTAGTTTTGAATTATTTGGCATTATAAAATTTTAGACTGTTAGAATACAAATGTGATTTTTAATAAATTTCTGATCAATCAAACATTTTATTATCAAGCAATCCTTTTATTTTCAGTGATTTTTTTTGTCTTAAAAATCTCTGTTTTATAAAGTATTAAAAAAGTAGTTGTGATGGCTTTCAGGAGCAATTCTCTCCTCCACATCAAGGTGGGGAAGAACCCATAGCATAATGTTTAAAAAAATCAATCAAGCTTTGAAACCAGGGAGGCGTGGGTTATTATTCTGGTTCCACCAATTATTAGTTAAGAGACTATGGATAAGCCATCTAACTTCTTGGATTCTCAGTTGCTGCCTTAAGAGAGTGATCACAATAGTATCTACCATTAGTAGGTTATGAGAATGCAATGAGCGAGTGAATGTAAAGTGCTTACTATTGTGCTTGGCATATGGTAAATGGTGGCCGTGGTTATCTTCTTGTGATCTTGTGATGACCTAATTGTTTTTTTTGGAGTTGTCCTCAAAATTTTTAGTTACTCGCATTAGGCAGTATTTACAGCACCCAGGTGGGAGT